AAAGTATAGTATTCTCCTATTATACTAAAGCTAGCTTATATATAATAATTATAACCTCTTTTAAGACCTTCTTAAATACTTTAACTATAGAGGTTAGTAAGCTATCTATATGCCTTTAAATCCTCTTCTTTATAAGTGTTAATTATAACCTAAATTCTAGAGTATTACTTAGGGTCTATAACTACTAGAGTAGGCTATTTTAGGGGAGTAGTAGTAATAGAGTGCGCAGCTTTATATTTAAAGCTAATATAACGCAATCTAAGGCAAATAGAGCTAATCTAGCCTTTTAGAACCCTCCTTAAATATTACTAGGGGTAATAGCTCTATTATAAGCTACTATAAAGTATAAAAGGAACTCCTACTTTATAATATAGTTAATCTAGTTATATATTAGCTAATTAACCTTATCCCTATATACCTTCTTTAGAGGGCTAAAATAAGCTATATTAAGTAGCTATAGGAGGTATAATAAGTATATAGGTATGCATAGACTTATAATATTATTATTCTTATAGTATTACTTAAATTCTATAAAGTTATAGCTCTTATAGCTATTAATAATTAGTAAATAGTAGGTGCTAATAGTATATATCTTTATATACTTATTAAAGTACTTTAACTAGTTAAAACTAAGCTTATTAGTAGTCTAGCTATTCTTAAAGATAGTAATAATCTAATCCTAGAGCAGGTTAACATCTTTATACTAGTTAGACTAGTAGTAGTAGGCTTTAAAGATAATATAGGGTAGAATAGCCTACTCTATAGTATTAATACCCTAGATAACTATTACCTACTTATAATTACCTAGCTAAACTACCTTTACCTATCTATAGTTCTCTAAAGCTATAATAACTACTCTAGAGCTTATCTAGCCTATTATAAAGCCTATCTTATTAAAGTTATAAGTATTATTATCCTAGATGCTATACTTAGCTTTAGTATTAGCTATAAGGTTAAACTAGCTCTATATAACCTTAGAATCCTTATAGAGGGCTTGCTTATAGTTATACTTATAATTAAAAACTACTTTAAGCTTCTCTTAATATAAAATAAACATGCTAGCCTAGTTTAAGCTAATAGGTGCTAAACTATACTCTTTCTATAGAGAATTAGTAATATTAGTTATATCTATAAGCTAGGAGGGTTATCCTTACTTAGCTAGCTTAAGTATATATATAATAATTACCTACTTCTTAGTATTAGTTAGATTCTATAAATTAGCTATAGTATTAATATATAAAGGTTGTCTAGTATATCTTATATATAGTATTATTTTAGAGGTGCTATAGATAGCTATAGCACGTTATATAGAGAGGTCTAGGTCTTGTTTAAGAGCTTAGATTATAAGCTATATCTAATATTCTTTTAACGCGTTAAGCTATTATTATTATAGAGGTATTAGTAGAGGTTAGTGTTTTAGTAGGGTTTTAGTAAAAGTGCGCCGTTCGCCTATATGCGCTGCTTACCTATAATATACGTTGGTATATAAGCTATATAGCAAATAGTAAGAGTAAAGGTATAGGTTATAAGTCTACTCTAGAGTATTAACGCAATAGCTATTAGCCTTGTCTTTACTACTATTTATTACCTTTAGGAGATTAGATACTTAATGCTAGAGAGTAGTAACAGGAAAAGTCTTAGTTAGGAGCTATAGTAGGTTGTTATTGCTACTGTTACTTATGCGGCAACTGCCTAGATTAAAGTCCTACTAGCAATGGCGATTATATTTAGTGCTGTTCTGGGCCTAGTGTGGTACGGTGCTATTGGTCAGTGAGAATGTTCCATTCTGGACCTCACCGTGTCCGATTTCCTTGAGGGCTTGCCGTTCGTAAAGCTGTTTTCCTCTAACGCACCGATTACATGCCTTCCATACGTGAGCATTTCGTCCCGGCAACAAGATACGAATTCATGTACGATAGAAGAAGAAAGCGACAATACTTTCAGCGCGAAAGTGGAAACAGTTCAAGTGATTCAAATTCCAGCTAATGGGAGCAGACCCATATAGGTTCCTATTGCCTTCATGTCTTGTCGCTGAAATCCAAATCCATTATTCCAGGACTTGGATTTACCTCGTGCCCGACTTCCGCGAGAGTTGGGCATCCTGCCACTTAAAACGCAAACCGAGACACTGCTCTGTCGAGAATCAAACTATCAATGAGATTGAAGGTGATTGCTGGATATACCGCAAAGAGAACGTCGATCTCCTGGAGACTGCGTACGGTAAGCGGATCCAATCTTTCGTTGGTATCGGTTAACCTACGCAGGCGTGGCTAATCCGGAGTCGGGTACGAGTTCCATGCTAGCCATTGGTGTGTCATGGCGCACGTCAGTTCGTTCTGCCAGCCGGCTTATCTTCTCAACGTATGCCGATTGAGAGAGCTGGACTAGTTGTTGTTTGCGGTCTCGGATTACCTCAACGCCAAGGAACCACTGTAGGTCTTCCCCTCCAGTAAGCGTGTACTTTTCCTGGAGCGAATTGATAACCTGTTGGGCTTCAACCTCTCGCGCTTTGTGATAGGCTAGGATGATGTTGTCGACGTAAAAGAAGATGATGATATTGTCCTTGATCATACAGCATGGTTCGTGGAGTACTTGGTTGAACCCAAGCTGGGTCAGGGATGACGTGAATTTTTTCTGCAACAGCGATGGGGAAATTCGTAGACCGTACTGTGCCTTCTGGACCTTGAGTATGGTTCCCGGCTTCTGGTGCCTGCACGGCATCCTCATGTATATTTCTCGATCTATAGCTGCGTGTACGAAAGCGTTTGTAACGTCGTATTGTTTAAGTTCTAGGTTTTGTTTTGCTGCGACGGCAGCCAGCATTCGAAACGAGCGGCTTGCTAGTGTTGCAGCGTAGGTGTCTTGGAACGTGACGTTTCTCTGTTGATCCCCTCTTACTACCAGTCGGGCTTTGCATTTGAGTAGATGGTGATACTTGTCCAGCTTGTACGTGTACACCCACATACAGTCCAATATCTGATGTCCTGCTCGCTTGACTGGGGCTGCCGGGATCTCTGACCATGATTGCATCTGCTTGTGGCTTTCGAGATGCTCCTGTTCCGCTGCCTTGAACATCTCATAGAGTGGATGAACTTTCAGGTCTGAGTAGGCCTTTGGGAGTGGAGGAAGCTGGCTTTGGTGCGGTTTGACGCCCCTAGACAGCATTCGTCGAAGTTGTGCCTTGTCAACTGGTCTTCCTTCGTGCTGACCGATAATTCCCGATTGAGTCCCAGCCATGAATGCTGCTGCCCACGGAACTGTTGTTGACGTCCCTTGATTATCTTGTGAGTTTGCGTGGTGGTTGTCTTGAAGTGTTTGTACTAGGAATGCTACTGGAGGTGGAGTTTCTGGAGGAGTTGGATACGCTTCTCTCATTTCCTTGCCTTTGTAGCTTCTTCGAGGTCTGTGTGATGGGCCGCTCTCTTCTGTCGTGTCATCCTCGTGGAAGTTCTCTGTCTCTGATTGCTCCGTCTGTGGTGTTGGAAGTTCGACGGTCTTCATCCAGGTCGATATCTCTTCGAGGGTATTCTGCATCAGGTTTTCCATCAGGTCCTCAGTTTTGCCGTTGAAGATAGTGCTCTCGTCAAACACGACATCTCGAGTGCTTATGACCTTCCCAGTTACGGGATCCATACTCGGTAAATGTTGGTGGATTGGTAGCCGACAAGGTATCCAATCCAGGCTTTCGGATCCAGTCTCTGGAGTCTTAACTTTTCGCGGTGCATGTCGTCTGTCATGGCAAATGCCTTGCATCCGTATGCCCTTAGATGTGCTTGGTTTGGCTTTCGGGGTCCTGTAACGATTCCGTTCAGGGCTGCAACGCGTATGAAGAATTTCTCCTATGGGGATTTTCAGTGGTTTGAGTAATTTGGTGTTCGGTTGTACAGGTATACCGCGGCTTTTATGATTTCCGGCCATTGGTCCCATGGTAGATTGGCGTCCAGTCGTATTGCACGTGCCTTCTCTTTTACCACACCCCCTGAGCGTTCAGTTCCTCCGTTTTGTGCTTGAGTGTCTGGGGCTGAAGGTTTGAGTTTAATACATAGGGACGTGCACCACCTGTAAACTTCCGATTTGACGGTAGTGATCTCGTTGTCAGACTCGATGACCTTGACCGTGACGTTGAATTGCTTCTTAAGGACTTGAAAGAAGATACCAAGAAGTCGAATGATAGATCACGCTGGCCGATTGTCTTTGAAGTAGAGATCCCATCTGTAGCGGGAGTAGCGATCTATTATGAGGAGTTGGCTCTTTTCTTTGGTTGAACTGCCTTCTTCGTAGCTGTGGAAGTCGATCGCTATTCGTTCTCCTGGGCCGTCGTCACTCAGTCGTGGTGTGTGTCGAATCTGTCGCCTCGACTTTGCTCTTCCACATGCGTCACATTCGACTGTTGTGACGCCTTTGATCCGCACCCCCTCAGACTTGTGGACGAGGTGTTCAATTGCCGCCGGACCTGGGTGTCCTAGTCGCTTGTACCAAAGTATGGCTTTTGCCTTCTGAGTGGCCCGTTGCGTTCTCGAGTTTGTTCGTACATAGAAGATGGCGTTGTCGTTTTGGTGTTGTTCAATCACCCATTGGTCGCACACTTCCGTTAATATGGCGACGATAGAATTGTCACGTCGACGTAGGGCCGTCGATTCTGGTTTATTGTCCCACCAGATTCGTTGTTGTCTCAACAGCCTGAACGATACCAGGTTGCATAGGATATCTGGGCACAGAGCAACGTTGTTGAGTTGGATGATATGTTCCCCGTGTTGGCCTCGGGCCTTAATTCTGACAGTTCCATATCCTTTGATCCACACTTGTGTGTTGCCTGCCCAGACGCAGTCACGAGGCGCTGGCGAGCGAAGATTCTCTTTTCGCTCAGGCTCATTGCAGATGTGTGTTGTTGATCCAGAGTCTAGGATAAATGAGTCTTTTAGTGGGTACTGTTGGTTGTTGGCGTTAAATGATGTCACCGCCATCACAGCATCGATCGTCGCTACGGTTCTTCCTTGTAGTCATTCTGTTGATATGTCCGGCGTTTTCGACATTTTGATTCGAGGTGTGTTCGATCGTGACGAGCTTTTGAGACGTGCTCTTTTCCTGTCTGGGTTAAGGTCGTTCATCGCTCTCTGTAACTCGTCATCATTATTTGTTTTGTACTATACAGGCTTGTGATGCTCCTATTTGGTTTGAACCATTCAGGTGCCTTTTCAGGGTATGCATAGTAGCAATCTGCAAGATTGTGGCGCTGTCCACAAGCAGGACACTCGTCTCCAGCTGCCGCTGTGGTCCCTGTTCGGGACTGCTTGGATTTGGTCGCTTGACCATCGCGTTTTCTTTTGAACCTAGGTTTTCCCAGGGTGCCCTGTGGAGGGGCGGATGGCGCTCTTTGCAATACATCAGAGGCGTCCCTCTGTGTATCCTGGGCGGTTGCACCGCCGGCGAGATATGATGCTTCTCCTGCAGCGAAGGCGCTCTTCTGCTTGCCCTTGACAGGGTAGGATTGGCTCATGTGACCTCGGAAGAGTTTCATCATCTTCCTCCAATTCATGGTCGTTCTGTCGTACCCGGGACCGGAGAAAATGGCTACCCAAATAGGGGCCACCTTCGAGACAGCGCCTAGGAAGTCAATCGTCACATCTTCGGTATTGTGTACTTCACCAACTTCGAGGGTCTCCACTCGAGTGGCTGCTTGGTCGTATTCCATCAACCAAGTCTCCCAGTTGTTTGGTGTTCTTATAAGTCTGAGCGCGGCGTGGTATCGTTCTCGCGCGCGTTCGTTCTTCTTGGGGATCCACCCCAACTGTTTCTTGGAGTGATGATACCCATTCCCGGACTGTCTTTCCTGAGTCATAGCAGCTCAGGTGCAGGTGAGGGGACACAGTAGCTAGGATATGGTTGATCAGCTTCTCATATTTTGGCTGTTCCTCCTGATACTCTTTCTCCTGGAGCTTGTAGGCTTCCAGACGCAGCTTGTAATCCTCCCGATCGTCCTTGTATTCCTCTTGACCATCTGGGGATAGATCAGAAACTCGCGTTGGCACGATTGCCACAATGGACTTGTCTCGTCGTGATGGCTGTGTGTTTCCGCGCGTTCGGGAGCTTGATGCTGTGCTTGTCATTGGCGTGTTCGTCGCGATCGACTCGTAGTCCGCAATGATCGGCGGGAGCGGAAGTATTGGTCTTGGCTTTGGTTCCATAGTGCTCTTGGGATCTGCTAGTGACCAGTTTCTTAGCGATTCGCATTTCATTTTGAATTGGCGATACCAGGCTGTCCAGCTGTTGCTGTCGGTTAGGACAACCGTTGCATCTCGGATGTTTTGCATTGACTTGGTGCGCAATTAGTAATTGCGGCAGTGAGACTCTTAATTGTCAGTTTATTGGTTTCTTTTAATTGATTGATTCTTGTTGTTCTGTTTCTACGCCCAAATTGCAGGTACATGTTTGTGTGGTTACACGCGAGCTTTGTGCTACCATATCGTGCCGCTTCCTAGCCCTCGGCCTTAGGGACTGTATATCTGACAAAACTACATGTACATCCAGCCAGCTTGTAGGAGCGCTGCATAAACTAGCTCGGGGGATGGACTTCTTGTACAGGTTGAACATATCCTCGAAGACTCCTTATGGTCATCTGCTGGCCTAAAATATGTGTGCGATCTGGCTGTGCCCTCAGAAGCAGAAATTGTATCTCCCGGCACCTTGTTGAGCTGACGTAACGGTGCGGCGCAAGGATGCAAGGTTGAGAAGTGCAGCTTGTTGCTGTGTTAAAGCAGCAGGACCACCAACGACCATCCTGCTGGTACTGTAGACATCGTAGCCGTGGTCTTGTTGAGCTGCAGTGCGACATTGGTACTTCCCTTCCATCGCAACGTTCGTGCTCTTCATACTCATCAAGCGCCCAAGCATCACCCATCACACTGCGAGCGTTAGGACCCCGCTCTTTGCAGACTTTGCCCTGCTCGCAGCAGGCTGTGTACTTGCAACCACAGCCAGATCCAGAGCTAAACCATTGCTGTCCTGTCCAACAGCCAGATGGCCGCGTGCGCTGTGGCGTGTGCGACTATGACGCTGCTTGGAATGCGTTGTCTCGAAGCGGTGCCTCTGCACGTCCAGGTGAAGTGGACTGGCGCCTTCGGTGCGCTGTGGTCTGTCGGGATCGTGTGCGCGTGCCGACCTTCTCTCAGTAAGGGGCATGGCCGCCTTCCAAGGCGACAGGCTAACGGTATGTGCAGATGCTCGCTCCACGGGAAACGGCTCCTGGCAGTCTGAGAGCGCGTTGGATCAAGCAGCCATGCTCAGTGCTGCTGCGGTCTTGTCGTTCCTCGTTCACACTGCCGCTACGGGCTTCTTCATGCCGACCGCCTGCGGAGGCGTTGAGTATCCGTGGGAGTTTTGGACGTCGCTTGTCCCGATGGTCGTCGGCATCGCAGCTGTTTCGGCTCTGTTTGCTCAGCAGAACTGCTTCACCGAGTGTCGTCGTGCACGCGAGTGCTTCGCCGCGGTGCTCTCGGTGACGCTGGCCGCCCTCCAGGTCGTCGCGCTTTCGGTGATGCTCTGCATCGTGTTGCTGCACCTCGAGGCGCCTGAAGCTGCTGTCGTGGATTCGCACGCGAAGTCACGGTCGTCCATGCTGGTGCTGTTGTCTATCGCCGTCGCCATCGCTATAGCTGTCGCAGTTGCTGTTGCAAATGTAGTGAGCGGTGTCGCGCGATGGGCTGCGCGAACCGTCCCGATGATCTTGGCTCGTCACGTTGTTGTCGCGGTCGTGCTGGGCGCAGCGGTAGCCTGGCGAGCTCGGGGCGGGCCGCGGGGCTTCGGTTTTCGCGCTTTGGGCACCAGCCCTTGCAGCCGTGGGGAACACTGCCTGGCTAGCGACTGCTCAGGCACTGGTACGTCGTCCGTTGGGCCCATCACTTGCGTTCGCGGCTAGTTTCTTTCTTCACAGCCCTGCGACACAAGCGTACCCGTTTCGCCGTTACGCGCCACTCCTGCAGGCGGCACATCGCCAGGCACTGCAGGCTTTGCGCCTCGCTGCGAGTGGAAGGTGAACTGCAGATTCCCTGAGATGGGTCAGAGTGGCGGTGACAGTCGCAAGCGCTATGGCGCTGCTCTCCAGCGTCTCCATCAAGGTCGTCGATGCAGCGAGGAGTGGGAGGAAGGAGAATCAGGAGACTCAGAGCCAGAAAGATCGAATTTGACAAGTACAAGTGACTGTTGTTGGTCTGCAGCCGCAGCCGCGATACGCAAAGCAGCTAGACTGCTCGCAGCCACCGTTCGCACCAAATCTTGCCAGTTCCATCAGCGAAGAGTCATCCTAGATTCAGAAAATGCATAAGACGATTCCAACTCCGTAAGTACATCAAGTCCCAGCCTGCATCGACGTCCCATGCAGCGTGACGTCCCACTCCTCTGCCATGGCCTTCTGGCATGCGACCATCATCGCCGCCATCTGCGCGATCTGCCCCAGCCTGCCTAGCACGATCTCGTTTCCCTCCCGAAAGCCGTATTAGTAGTACCTCAGGCCAGTCTTCTCGCAGAACTCGCGGACCAGACCCTGCGCTCTCCTCAGGTTATGTCTTGGCAGGCGTGGGAACAGATGGTGGACGGCCTGGAACTGCAAGCCCCCATAGAACTAGTCGAGCCACTCTGGGCACTTGATGTTGATGGTCGTGCGGAGCTGGTGCTGCGCGAAGGGCTCCGTGGGTCTGAGGTCAGACGTTGGCATGCCCCAGTGCGAGAGCGTGAATTGCACGTGCAGGAGCATGGTGACCATGTGCGAGGCGAGCACGAAAGCGATGCCGAGATCCTCGAAATACTTCTACTAAGCTTTGGTAGCTCTGTGCTGACCTTGTCTCGCTCGGTAGCGCTCCGCATCACCTGGTTGCCCGACGCAATCGTGCCGTATTGTATCGCCACTTCCTCTTCGCGGTCGCGCGGCTCCCGAGCCTCGCGTCTGTCACAGCTGCACTTGTCGCACGTCTGCGCTCCCTCGTGCTCGTACGTTGCTTCGAACAGAACGCCAGGCCCAAAACTCACACCCTTTATGCTCGTTCCTGATCACACTGCCAGAGTTCGTACACCAGTCTTTGCAGTCTTCACCCGCAGCCGCAGACATGGCCGTCGCTGACCTGTCCAGCGACCGATCGATCATGTGTGCTGGAGCGTGTGCGACTTTAACGGCGTTTGGGGAGCAACTGTGCGGTGCGGTGCCTCTGCGTGTCCAAGCAGAGTGGACTGGCGCTCTTGGGGCGCTGTGGTCTGCTAGGATTGTTTGCGCGTGCGTACGTCAACTCAGCAAGTGGCATGGCCGCCGTCCGGGGCGACAAACTGACGGTACCCGCAGGTGCTCGCCCCATTGAAGACAGCTTCTGGCCAGGGAACGTGTGGGAAAGAGCGGCCACGTTCAATGCTGCTGCGGTCCTGTCGTTGCTTGTCTTTATACGTCCGCGCGGCCGCTCCTTCGTCGTCAGCCTTTGCAGATCCAGCTGGAGTGCTTACGAGCTTTGCTTAAAGTACGACTTCAACAAAACCATTCAGGCTTTTGTCGCACTGGTGGGTTACCGTTACTCTGCGATGGGACTGTGAGGTGCCACCTGTTACGTCATCCCAAGTGATGTTGTGGAGAAAGACGAGTGGTTACGCGGGCAAAATCGCGATGTGTGCCACTCCTTGCGTGCTAAACTAATAGTAGCGTCGACTGGGAGTCTGAGGTGATCGCGTGCTAGTTCCGAACAATCCACGTGAAGCGCCACCTGGACAGCTCGCTGCCAGCTGCACTACCAGACACTCTTGACACGCTTCTATGTCAACAACATTTCGTTAGACGAAAAAATGAAAGCCCCCCCAATGTTATGATAGATACTATAGACTAAGTTCTACCGCAGAAGCACTCGTCCATTCCAACCTAAACGTATGGACGATATAAATGCCAGACCCGATTGCTTTGCTGCGTTAGACAGCAGCTCCGCGTCTTGACAAGAATTGAAAATATCGACAAAAGCCCTCTGCTGTCGACGAATGCATGTATTTCTATTGCTCGTCGGCCTCCATCTCATTTGACTATGCTAGCAGCTTAGTTCAAGCACTGGCTGTACCACTGGTTGGCAGCCTTGCAAGAACCTGTAGAGCAGCACTTAGCACCGTTATACCCCTGTCCGCCACACTGTCCGAAAAGGGTGGCGCAACCAGTGCCAGCGGGGCCAGTATGCTTAGGAGCAACGACAGTGGCCATGGTGGTGGGCTTTTGTGCTGCAGGTGTGGATGAAGCGACCTCCTTGGCGGGAGTGGTAGGGCTGCTGGAGCCTGAGCCCGAAGCTCCTCCATCCCAGACAGCTGGGCCGGGCATAGGGAAGGCCTTGCGTCCATTGTAGATGCTGAAGTTGGCGTAGGGGTCGGTTGCCTTGTATGCGCCGGGGAACTGTAAAAACACTGTTAGCAAACCATTTTGGATACGATCAACTCTGCTGCTTACCTTGACCATGGGACCAGGGGTACCGCTACCGCCACCCTGAACCTTAACTTGCAGGCAAGAGACGTAGTGCTCAGGCTGGTTGACGTGAGAGCGGTGAACACCGATGTGCTCCATGCGGACAAGGTACTCTCCGTTAGGAGTGTCCTTGGGTATCTTGGCAGCAATCCAGTCCCTGTTGTAGTCGCACCAGGCGGTGGAGGTAAAGTCACCACCGTCGCAAACACCTTCCTCATAAATCTTGAACCAATCGCCAGATCCGTCGTAGGCCTTGACGCTTGCAGGCGCCTTGGACATGTAGACCAGACCGGGACCAGGGTGCTGGAATTTGGCACCAACAGCCAACTTGAGGCGAACCTCCTCACCTGCGTTGACGGTCAAGACCTCGGTCTTGCCAGCAGAGGCAAATGCGCCCTGGTTGCAGACGATATCGGGACCATCGACAGTAGATCCGTCACGGATGTCGGCTGCAGGGTTCGAGGAGAACTTGATGGGGTTGTACTTGACAGCGCGGGACGACTGGCGAACGTACTTGAAGGCGGGCTGCGTGGTACCGCCGACGATGTTGGTGTCGAAGAAGTAATGGGCAGAGGCCACTTGGGCGACGGCAGCAAGGGCGAGGGCGGAAATCTTCATTCTGACCGGGCAGTAATGAATGTCTTGAAGAAGTGAAAAGAAACGTTTGACGAATATAAAGAGCGACAAAAGCGAATGTACTGGTAGTAAGCTACCAAGGCCTCACGACAACTCAGCAGTTCTTATATCGTACGTCTCCATGATCTGCCTCAAGCATTGAGACACTGCTCACGCGCAGATTCAAGTAATCTTGTTTTAATAGAGATCCAAGAATTCTCGTAAATAACCAAGGAGGCGATCAAGGGTTTGGTAACTTTTTTGGGTACTTTCCCATGGCCTCGGGCACTCTGAAACTTCTTGGAAGTGTCCTTATGTTTAATGGCGTCATTAGCGCCCGCTGTCCCCTGGTAGGGCCAACTTTGGCAGCGCTTATACCTGCTTGATCAGTCAACGAAGTGATGATTGTTGACTATTATGCCAAGGTCGCATATGTCCACAGAGTTTCAACCTTCGATTGCCGGCAGCCAATGGTGCTTCCCTTGCATAGTGACAGGTGTAGCGAGTGGGTCGTTTTATTGATAGCATAACGACACATCACTTTGAATGTCTTTAGAAATTGCAACAACTGGCACAAATCATCTGGTGCTTCTGCCAACGTATTTAGAGATGTGTGTATAGTTTCAATATCACAGTCTTGTTAAGTTTACATGCGTGTTTGGCAGAAGAGCCTCCACGAATACTGCATTTCAACCTGAACTTCCCCTCGCCTTGTACGCTGTGGCTAAAACTTAATTAAGCAAGACGTTTTGAGGTCTAGATTAAGTATTTATAGAGTCTAGTACCCGCAGCCGTACGAGCCATTCCTGAGCGGATGTAGTACCCACTGCTAGAAAGAAAGAGCACTAATACAACACTAATGAATGCGGTTTATTAAGTTCCCATTGGAGAGGCGGGCTGATCCACTGCGGCATAGTACACGCCGAATGCAAGCGCCTGTTGTCAAAATACACTCAAGGTATGTTGGGTCAATGAGGAGAATGTTGGCGACCCGAAAATTGTATTCAGAATTCAGAATTGCACCAGCTCTTGAACAAAATAGCATTGATCTTCAGTGCTTAAGGACTTCGCTCGGTGTTATTTGCATGATTATGTAGACGGCTTTCCTCGCAACACGGCGATGATCCCATGTGAGCGCGTGCAGCACTCTCGTTCTAGAAGACCTCATTACCAGGATGTCATTCTACAGGTCCATGTCCCTCTCAACCCCGAAAATATCCAGGCCTGACACGCCACTTCGTATGTCATTTGTTTGTACTGTGATGCCGCGCGGCACAGTCCCGCAAAGTTCAAAATTTATCCACCGGTTGATAGCAGCACGTTCATCGCCAAGGTCACTCTGAGACACTGGTCATTCTGTTCTAAGTCGTATTGGATATTGCACTGGCAATGGAAAGCTGGAAGCCTCCTTGTCGGATGCAAGCGATATTGGCAGGAACTTTGAACCGAGGTTGCCTCCGAGCTAGGTATGCCTTTAGTCGAGTCACGCACCGCACTTGCCTTTGTCCGCCCCACTAAGGAGTGTTTCAAGTATCCAGCGAAGAACGGCGAGGTACTGCTACTTAAAAATAGTCTAGAAACTGCCTCCGAGGACCAGCATTGAGAGTAAACATCGTACAATGCAATCGAAACACCGAAGATCGGGAACATGCAGATAATGAGAACGGGAGATATGTAGCAGGATGGTGTCAAGAGTCCCCAGATTCTCGCTTCCAGAATCACCGTAGTACAACACTAGTTTCACAAGCAAAATGCTTCTTCATGCTTACACCTTGGCATTTATCCTGGCCAGTGTGAACGTGTGAAACCTTTCGCCATGGAAGCAGACCTGTGCATGAACGTAAGTTTCATGTACCGAGTAGATGGTCCGAGAACAAGGCCTGAGTGGATGGTCCCCTGTCTGCTGTGGTGGTCTAGACTTCTTCTTTTACGTGAATTTTTGGGAAGTTTAGGCAGGAATCTCGGCAGGACATGCAATGCTCATGGTTCATTACCATCAAAAATGAGTCAGAGACAACTGAATAAGATCTGTTGGCGGTCTTCACGTGCCCCACCTTGTGTCGGAGCTTTTGCCGCTTGCCGTTTCCGTGTTGCTATCCGTATGATCTCTCCGTCTCAACTACCCGTGTCACTTGCTTTCCGTATAACCTTACCGTCTTGCTATTCAAACGAGCACCCACCTCACTGCTCCTACGATTTGTAAAGTAACTGTGCGTACTTGTTACATGCTTTGACGCCCCCGCCACCATCTAAATTTCAATTCTTGTGTCGCATTGGAATGGGACCTCTGTCCTCGTGTCGTTCTTAACCGCGAAGTCTGAACGCAATCTGTTTCATGACAGTCGAGATCACGGACTATAGAGCGGTGACATGAGGGACAGGACACATTGGTGCTGTCGTAACACAATGTTTGGAATCCGCTCGACTGATCGTTAGACTCACCCGTCCCGGAACCAACGAAGCCGTCTTCGACTGTTTACAATTCATCGCGCTCCCTCTCATGAACTTTCGAGTGGTACACCGTCTTCAACTTCTTCTTATTTCTTGAACAAGTCCAGCTTCATGTCATCTCGGATCGCCAACATCCGTATATACAGGCTTTGCAGGCCACTTACAAAGCTGTCGCCTGATCGATTCGCCGGCCTCGTTGACAGCGGCAGCATCAGTCATCTCAGGTGCATCACCCTTTTCGCGATCCAGTCGACTAACGCAGCAAGAGGATCAATCGGCATGGGACCTCGACCCAAAGCACAATGGCTCACACCAGGCGCAAGAAAGAGGCGATAGATTTCGTCAACTATGTCTGCACCTCTCATCTCGCGTTGTACCCGCTTGCGGTATTCGACTGTACCTTCATGGGGGATAATGTCGTCGGCAATACCGTGCCAGGTCAGCGATTTGGGTTCTGAGTCGCGAAGGGCTGTGAGATCAGTGGACTCGGTCTGCATTGTCCACTGCTATTCGGCTGCGGCCTGCGCCCAGATCACGAAGTAGTCGTGAGGTGTGAGTGAAGATAAGTCGAAGTCCAGAGGAAGGAGGATTTCCTCGATCAGAGGAAGTGCAACCGGGTATCCGGATCGCACGCATTCAGGGAAGATTCCGATGTTTGCGAGAGTCGCGTAGTTGATATCACTAAGCGCGAGAAGGGAGTTAGTCATGACAAGCAGCGCTTGAATGGTGGTGATCTCGCTCCGGTCCAACGCCTCTTCCAACAGCTGGCGAACGCGCTTGCGAAACTGCCACCCTGCAGTTCGCACATCGTCTGCGACTCGTCGAACTTCTTCATGGCGTGAAGGACTTGGAAGGCCCCAGGTAGATGGCATTCAGCAACAACTTCCAGAAACGCGGTCCGCCACAAACCATATCCCTTATGAAAGCTGGTCTGTAAATGATCAAGAATGAGTGGTGCTGACGGTTCCAGTGCAAGTTCAACAGGTGCATGCCCAGGTCCGGGTCAACGCCATCAAAGTCTAGAGCTCCCCTTCGATAATAGTAGTCTTCTAGCTGATATTAGCGTGTGGCTTCAGCAACGAGACCGTTCTCGATCCACTGCTCAGGGATCTCTGGCCGAGTAGGACGGTCGTGGTGGGCATTCTCGTCAAACAAGGTGCTGGTGCGCCCATGGTAGCTTGATATGCCCTTCTCGATGACTATACGAGAGACACTGACCGAGCGCTCAGCACCTGATGCATTAGAGCGAATGTCTTCGATGGTACCAGGTGCAGATGTCGCCTTCGTGCTGATGGTGCTGGAGGCAGTCACGGGCACGGGCACGGGCAGCTTGAGCAGTCGGGCGCGGACGTGGGCGGCATTTGGGGCGTCATGGCCGCACTCAAAGCTGCATAAGACCAGGATGATGATGGAGCTCGGGCAGAGATTTTGTGCATGGTATAACTCGCTGGGAAGCTCAGTCACTGGGTAGCGGGCTGCCTGTACCAAAAGTAGGATGTAACGGTACTATGTGAGGAAAACGGAGGCAGATTTTACTATCGCCTCGGAGCGTAGCGGTACAGTACTCTGGTGTCAACAGACAGTAATGCAGAAGGGCAACTCTCTTGCATTAGGCCTATTGCCTACTCGGCCATCTGGGCTGGTACAGTAAGAGGTGTCCCGTGATATAATGCATCCATGGCGATACACCTGCCGCGAGCACACTCTGTCGAGTCGAGACTAACTACTACTCTGAGCTGCATTGTGGTCTGCGCAGATACTAGTCTTGTGACTGGACGTTGTCCTTACTGGCAGTTGTAGCTGCTCGAGCTTGACTCTTGTGCACTCCTCGCAACCGTAACCTCCGTAAAGTGGCTCGTTGCACTCGCAAAAGACGCCCTGCGGTCGCTCCTCGCTAGACTGATCCGGTGTTAGCTAGCTGGTTGTTGCGGCAGTGTGTTTGAAGGCGATGGGGTGCGCGGCGCGGCAGCAACACCACTTGCAGCACCCACAGCGTCACCCACAGGCTTCTGTTTCTTACGAGATTTCGCAGCAGCCTTCTGTGATGCCTATATGGCAGGGAACCGACAGATCGGAGTGCAAGCACTGACCTTTTTTGCCCTTTTTTGTACTAGTCCCGGATACCTATACTTCGCGATTACCGTGTCCGTGCACTCAATGCGCGGATTCAGTCAATGCGCCGAACCACCCTAACAAGCACGTGCAGAAATGAGGCTTTACAGCCACATATAATACTTATTATCACAGGATAATCTAGTGTACTGTTCTATAGGCCTATGCAACGATATTTTCTTATACAAATTAATTATATAGAGTTGCTGTTCGGCTGCTGCGCGTAGTGTGGGTGCGAGGTGCCGCAGGAGGCTCTGCAGCAACAACACCACGCCGCGCAGCCACTGCACTACAATTTAGCTTCTTTCTTAGTGCCACAGACTGCGATTCCTTGCGCTTGCCTCTTTGGGGCAATTCTACAGCTTTTGCAGCGTCGCGAGCTTGCTTATTATGCTCTCTTTAAGCTTTGCGTTTAGCTGCTTCCTTAGCCTTCTTAGCTCTGACTTACTTACGCTCCTCTTTCTCCCTCGCCCACTGCTCACGCCTCTCCTGAGCAATCTTCTCCTTGTATAGCTTGTTAGCGTGTCTAAGCTTTACTATCTCTGCTTTTCTAAGTTCTTCTGCCTTCTAGTTCTGTTGCTTAGTCCTCTTATTAGAGCGTGCTTTCTCTACTCTGCTAGGAGAGTAAAACTCTGCCCTACTGTGATGCTCCTCGCGAGGTTAAAACTAAAGAGCTTTGCTCTTGTTATTTTGCTTCTTCTAAGTCTTAAGCACCTTTTTAAGGCCTGCTATCTTATAGTAGAGTAGGGTGTTTTAAATTAAGATATAATAGAGTAAGCAGCTAATCTTTCTTAGCTCCTTACTACTCTTATCCCTAGTAACTTCCTTTAATAGAGTCTCTTTTTTAAGCTAATTCTTGCTAGAGTAGACTAAAGAAGAGCTAGTACTGCTATTAGAGGCCTTTAAGGTATCTTTAGTAAAGTATTAGAGAATAATATTAGGTTCTTTAAAATAATAGGTATATTACCCCTATAGCCTAAGTATTAGCCTCTAAGTAAATATGCTTACCTAAGCCTTCTAGAATAGATAGAAGAAGTTACTCTTCTTAATTACTAATAGCCTCTAACTACTATAAAGGTATATTATAAGCTCTATTAAGTATATAGTTAATAGAGGCTTAAATAGTACTTTATTAAGTAGATAGTATATAGGTTAAATAAAGAGAAAGTATAGCTAGTAGTATCTTATTCTAATTATAGTAGTTAATAAAGTCTATTATTATATAGAAGCTATAGCTATTAAAGATTAGAAAGTAGTACTTTCTTTAAGCTTTAGCCTTAGTAAAGTAATTAAATACTTATTTAAGCTAAGTAAGACCTATCTTATTATTAGTCTAGCCTAAAGATAATAAGGTAATAAGTATAGAGTATACCTCTAGCTATACTTTCTCTACCTAGCTTAATTAGAGAGTACTATTAGTAGACTTATAGATAAGGCCTAAGAGTACTACTAATCTATTACTATATTTATAAGCTAAGAGTATAATCTATATATAATTTCTATCTTAAAGTAATACTTTAACCTTTTTCTTTTCTTATATTTATCTATTAAATAAGTATATTATTCTAGTAGTTACTCTAATTATAAAGCTCTTTTTATCTATATTATATATATAATAGCTATTAATCTTATACTTAGTAATCTTATACTATAGTAGGTTAAAGTATAACTTATACTTAAAGTATAAATTAGTATTATAATAATTAAAGTCTATACCTATTAAGTATTAAGAGATAAGATAGATAGAGTAGTTATTAATAAAGTAGGTAACCTAGCTCTTACTTATAGGTTCTAGAGCTATAGATAATATAAAGTTCTTAATTATTTCTCTTATAGGTAGTATATAGCCTAGGGCCTAATCTACTCTAGATAATATTTTATATTCTAATTTTATAAACTCTCTTCCCTCTCTAGATTTTAAGACAAATTTAACTAAGTATATAGTAGCTAATATTACTAAGTAACTAATATTATAGAGTAATAGTAACAATACTAATACTATAATAATTAAGCACTACTTAGGTAGCTATTTAGTAGCTTTAAATATATTTATATTAATATATTATAGTTATCTACTAACTAAGTATACTTATACTATAGGTCTAGTAAATACCTAGAACCTTATATAGTAATTATTTAAGTTATAACCTTAAGGTCTATATTAAGATTATACTTTAAGCAAAGCTTATAAGCACTATTTAATTAGTTCTTAGGGATAAATACTATTAAGGAAACTAAAGGAGTCTTGCACTAAGAAGTATAGATATAATCTATCTATCTTAAGGGCAAGAGGTAATAATAAGTAGTATAGAGTAGACTATCTAGCTTAAAGATTAAGTTAAGATCTAATATTATAGATAAATACTTAGGTTAAATATAAACTATAAGAGTTATATTCCTACTTGCTATATACTATAGAGAGTATAGTAGTTTACTAGGCTTAATATAAGCTATATAAGCTAGGCTTACTAAGCTTAATATAAGCTACGTAAGCTTTATATAATACTTACTTTAGCTTAACTACTAAGGAGTAAGCTTATTATATAACTTATAATAAAACTATGCTATATAGGATAGTCTATATAATATTATACTAAGCGTATTAGCATTTGCTAGGTATTAGCATCTAGTTAATTATAAAAGGGCGATTATAATAGTAGCTTAAGAAAAGTAGTTAATACTATATATTATATATAGTAATAGCTTATTAATATATTCTAGTATATCTAATACTACCTAGATTAAAGGTATAAGGCTATAAAGTTAGTATATAAATAGTACTAGTACTAGATTAATATATATTACTAGTATAGCAAGGGTAATAGTATAGATACTATTAGAGTTAAATAAGAGTAATTTTTTACAGTATTATAAGTTAGATATTTAACTACTTAGAAGAAAAGAATAATTAAGATAATAAACTCTAGCTATAAATAGTAAGAATACTTTTATTTTAAATAGTATAGAATACTAACTAGTTTATAGTCTACTTCTACTATAGAAAGCCCTTAGAGTTATAAGTCTTTTATAGTATTATAGGTTAAATATAGTTTAAGGACTTAAAAAACTTTTAAACTTCTATAGAGCTACCTAATAATCTATAGTTATAGATAGCTATACTTATAATTATTAAGTTAACTTTATAGTTATATATATAATATAGCTTATATAATATATTATATCCCTAAAGCTCTTAGAACTATATATAATTTATAATATATAAGTATTAGTATCCTTAGAATATACTTTACTATAATAAGTATATAATAATGTTTATGCTATAGGTAGAGGGCTTTAGCCTGTTTTATAAATTTTTTTGCAATATACCTCTATTTTTTATACTTTATTAATAAAATTATAGGTAGTATATAATAAGAAGTAAGCTCCTCTATATATACTATAAGCTTAGCTTCTCATTATAAGGTAAGTTTCTATTATACTATTACCTTCTTCTTTTGCAATTACATCTTACCCCTCTACTTGCATATTAACGTTAACTACACAACCTTATATTTTTTAGCTACTTTAGACTACAGGATCTTATCTTTAGAGGCAAAAGTATTGCACTCTATAAGGGCTTCTTCTAATCCTATTGCGTTGTGTTGTTATAGAGTTAAGAAAATAGAGGTGTTTTGGTGGTTCAGCGCATTACGCGCACGGACACGGTACCGTGTCCGTGCGCGTAATGCGCGGATTCGCGTAATGCGCCGAAACCCCCTAAAGTGCACCTGAAAAATGAGGTTATAGAGCCACGTACAATAGTTATTATTGCGAGATTGTTTAGTGGAGTGTTCTATAGGTCTATGCGATAATTATTGCCTATATATTTTATTTATATAGAGTGGCGGTGCGGCCACTGCGGGTGGTGTGTGTGCGAGCTGGTGGAGGAGGCGTTGCAGGCTTTGGTTGACTACGCGCACCTACACCACGACGCGCAGGCTTTCTTCTTACTATAGAAGCTTTTGAAGCTGTCTTATTGCCTCTTTGGGACAATTGTATAGCTTTCTGGGCGTCCTGAGCTTGCTTCTGACGTTCCTTTTCAGCCTTGCGTTCAGCTACTTCTTCTGCCTTCTTGGCTTTGACACGGTCTCTCTCTTCCTTCTCCCTCACCCGCTGCTCACGCTTCTCCTGAGCTAGTCGCTCTTTGTATAGCTTGTTTGCGTGCCTGAGTTCAGCCATCTCTACTTTTCTAGCCTCTTCTGCCTCAGCTTCTTGTTGTTTTACCTGCTCATACTGACGTGCTTTATCAACCCTACGAGGAGAGTAAAACACTGCTCCACCATAATAGTCCTCAGGTTCCTGGAAGTCAAGGACTTTGCTCTTCTTCTTGTGCTTCTTCTGAGTCTTAAGAACCTCTTTTAGGCCTGCTATCTCATGGTGGAGTAGCTGGTTTTGGACTGAGATGTGGTGGAGCGAGCGGCTGATCTTCTTCAACTCCTTACTACTCTCATCCTTGGCAACCTTGCGCAGTAGGGTCTCTATTTTCAGCCAATCTTTGCCAGAATAAGTTGAAGAAGAGCTTCCGCTAGCATCAGAGGCCTGGGGAGAAGGCTCAGCAAAGCGGTGAAGGATGACGTTGGGTTGGAGGGGTGCTATACCCGTTGCCTCAAAAGACTTGAGTATCAACTCCTGAGTAAACGTGCTCGTCCAGGCCTTCCAGAATAGGTGGAAGAAGTCGCTCTTCTTGATTACTGATAGTCCCTGGCCATTGTGAAGGTATGTTGTGAGCTCCTTTGAGTACGCAGTTGAGAGAGGCTTGAACATCACTACATCCAGCGGCTGCAGCGTGTGGGTTGAGTGAGGAGGAAGGATAGCCAGCAGTATCTTATTCTGATCACAGTAGTTAATGAAGTCCATAGTCATATGGGATCCATGGCCGTCAAGGATCAGGAGGCGCCACTTCCTCCGCGCCTTGGTCTTGGTGAAGCGATCAAACACCTGTTGAAGCCAGGCAAGGCCTATATCGTTGTTGGTCCAGCCAGTAGGTGATGAGGAAACAAGTACGTCGTGTACCCCTGGCTGTACTTCCTCTACCCAGCTTGATTGGATGGTACTGTTGGCAGACTCGTAGAGGATGCCTGGCGGCAGTGCAGTCCCATCACCACACACACAAGCCAGCAGCGTAACCCAGGCCCTATTACCATCTTGAAGTGATGCTTTGACCTCCCCCTTCTCCCACATCCGCCTACTGAACACGTGTTTCGTCCTAGTAGTGATCCCAATCATGAACCCCTTTTCATCCATATTGTATGTGTGGCAGCTCTCAACCTTATACTCAGTGACCTTGCGTTGTAGTAGGTTGAAGTATAGCTCATACTTTGTGTATGAATCAGCGTTGTGGCGATTGGCGTCCATACCCGTTGAGTATTGAGAGATGAGATGGATGGAGTAGTTGTTAATGAACCGAGTAACCCAGCTCTCGCTCACACGCTCCTTGGCCACAGAAGACGCGAAATTCTGTATCATCTCCCTTGTAGGTGGTATAGAACGAGCAGTAAGCTCTCCTATATAAGTTACAAGCTCCTCCTCTTGTTGTGGAGTGAGCTTTTGCTGTGCAATAGCCTTCTCATTACGCGACCGCGTCTCACCCCTCCACGTGCGCGTCAACGTTGACCGCACAACACCATGCTTTTCAGCTATTTTAGACCACGGGATCTCATCTTCAGATGCAAAAGTATCACACTCTAAAAGGGCTTCTTCTAATCCCATCGCGTTGTGTTGTTATGGAGGTAAGATAATAGGGGTGTTTTGGTGGTTCGGCGCATTACGCGAATCCGCGCATTACGCGCACGGACACGGTACCGGTAGCATAGATTTCTTTTTATCGTAGATGTGGGTATCGAAAGGCTATTCAACATTTTGGCCAGTAAAGACAACGCAAGGAAGTCAGATGGTATTTTGAAGGGTGTTTCATATGCGCCGAACGCCGACTCAAGCTTTTTCGCCAGAACACTCGCCTGTGCGGCTAGAACAGTTGTACAGTGCACGAGACGCTATAACAATTGCGCTGACACCTGCGGTGGTCTGCCGCCACGAAAGCGCAGAATATTTAGAAGGGACCGTTCGATATTCAATCAGCTCCTGGCCACATTCAGGATCTAAAACTCGTTGAAGATCTCCCAAGCACAAACCGAGAAATCCAAGTAGCCCGGCGCCTAGTTTAAGGAAGAGTCCATGCGGTTTCTCGTGTTTGCTTCGAGATTGCGGGAAAGCCTCATCATCAGAAGGGAAGGTGCAAGTGACACAAGGAAATGTCTCATATCAAATACCATAATTTTCTCTGTGTAATACTGCCTTGAACCACAATCCTCGCCCACTGCATTATTGCACGCGGCAGTCAGGCCTTGCCTTACGCGCTCTCTTCCAGACTTCAACATCCTCAACAAACTCGGGACAGCAACGTCCTGCCTGGGAAGCGAAACGTCGGAGTAGGAGCTGCACCTCTATCGAGGAGCAGCCACGTCATATCCCAGGTGTCTCTGTCCACATCACTGTAGGTCGCGATGTACTCCATCAGTGTGCCACATCGCATGTGAATGTATGGGGATCCAGGGGGTTTGTCAGGTGCATTTACGTCCAGGCCCACGGTGTCGATGAGATGTCGTATCATTGCCATGCGCTTCTCGAGGTCTCTGAGATGCGCCTCCTCGGCTGCCTTAATGTGTTCCTACATGGCAGCAAACCGACAAGTTTCCTCAATGTTTTTGCCCTCTTTCGTACTAGTCCCGGATCGACTCCGCCACTACTACCCCTGCACTTGCCCCTTTAGAGACGTCTTGACTGCGTGACCTCCGCTGCCGTGCTGAACCTCCCTTCTCCTGCAACTGCGCGGCATAGCTCTGTCTCTACGATAGAGTTGTGGTAGGTAACGGAAGATGGAGGTCACCTATGATAGGTTAGTGCAGCGGGTTGATCAGGGGCTAGGTTACCGAAACAGAAACACGAGGGGGCAGATCCACCTAAAAGAATGACCGGGCTGGAACACAATAGGGCCGAAGGCCAAGCATTCACTCAACCGCAACCAATTTTGCACTCAGCCGTAACCAAGTTTGCCTCGCACTGACAGATCTCCCGTTTCTAATTGGTGCGGCAATCGAATTCGTAGTGTGCATCGAGAGACCGAGTCAGCCTACCAAAGAGTCATGCAATTGACAAGGCTTAAGCGAGCGGAGAGATGCTGGTTCCAGGCTGCAGACTAGTTCGCTTCTTTTCAGCTGTCAACACACCCTGACTGGAAGCCTGCATTAGTGTACCAATAGAAACAGCAGCACCTGTTTACAGTAGGATTAAGCAAATGACGATGCTTGCGCCATCCGCTTATGAGCCGTCGTTCGTCCTGAAAGCGAGAAACCTGGCGGCATAGATATACGAATAGGCTCAGCAACCACCGTTCAAGAGTTTCGCTGCCGAATTCGCTTCATCTTACGACGGCAAGATGGTGATGTGGTGGGACTGCGATGCAGTCTATTGTGGCTTCTGGAACAACGAGGGTAAGGTATTGGTCCATTGATGATCCTATCCTAACACTCAGCTAAAGGCAATACCCACAATCATCGAGGGACCTTGACACTCCCGACCCAATGGGGCCTCATCCTTGTCGGCTTCTTCACCTTGTTCATCAAACTGTCCAGCGGCTACCTATGGGGAACTATCAAGTTCACCATCCACCAGTTCAGTGCTTCCACTAAGCCTCGAGATGCTTCATACCACCAATTGCAGCTAGTGCTCCACAACACGGAAAGCGAGTCGACTTTCATCACCCAGCTGACCAAGGTCTTGTGGGCACACCGGGGCGGACGACCTAGGATGTTTCGGAAAGGTCTTGCCTTGATTCTATTTGCTGGCCTATACACCATCGCGTTTGCTTTTACAAGCGGCGTGTCGAGCAGAATTATCCGCGCCCACGATTCGAGCGTTTTAAGCGTGTCCAAACACTGCGGCTGGTTCAAGGAGCCTACTCTCGGGAACAGCTCCTCAATATCGTCCGGTGGTGTCTTTGAATCAGTAAATGCAATCTCCGTGATGGCACGAAATGTTTACCGCAGAAGTGCGAGTTACTCCCGGTCTTGTTATGGTCGCTTCGGAGATAAGTCAACGGCATGTGAAAATTACATCCTACCGACATTGCCCTATATCGTTCGAAGGAACGTTCCATGTCCATTCGCTGGCAGAGCATGTAACGGCTCTGCTATGTCACTCGATACAGGTTATTTGCGCTCTGACAGCCATTTTGGAATGAATACACGCTCTGAGGATGCCCTGTCTGTGCGGAAAGTTCTCACATGTGTACCTTTAGCTGGCGAACAGTACACAGATGGTTGGCAGCAGATGCCACCGACGTTGTCAACTGCTCAAGATCTGCCGCTGGATACTAGGCTTAAAGGTTATTCATTTGGCCGAACGAACAGCATTTTTGGTTCTTTTAATGATTTGAACTACACTGCTGCTATGGACGAAGTGCATTGGAGGTTTGGCAAGCAACCGTACAGTCTCAAGTAAGTTGCGCAAGTTTCTCTCATTGTCTCTAAGTCCTTGATCTCTGCGGGTGCTCAAGGATTGAGACATTTCCCCGTCCCTAATCACAAAGGTAGTCACATGATGTTCCTACTGCAATGACCAACAGCGGAAAGCAACGTTAACATCTTGCAGATGGACCAATAATATTCTAGACCTGCCACCCATTCCCGCTTGGTTCCCTTTCACGCCGATTGCAGACGTACAAAACACAACAGCGGACACGATTATCGTCGGCTTGACCAATAGGAACGACTTTGCCTCACCCATCGCGGATCCTTGGTTTGCTGTCGACAATTGTAGCACATTATCGGGGTCGCTAGTTGCGACGACCTGCCGGGCAGCAAATCCACTATCGTTTCTCGGGTGCCAGGAGCAATACCAATTCTGTAAAACGGAAACCGGATCCGCCGACTCTTGCACACCACTTACAGGCCTCTACCGCCTAACCCCCGATGTTTTTCTTGCGAAAGAATTACCATGGAATGGCACCATGCTTGCCAATATGGATCCCAAGCAATCAGCCCTCTACCGATTTCTCGCCAAAATACTCTCAAGTAGCCAACTTCACTTTCAGCTTGGCTTCATTGGGCACGAGAATCTTATCGCACAGGACTCTCTTTGGGACGGCGGTTTTGGCTTCTCCCTGTCCGCTAACTTGCCTTCTAATCAGTGGGAAATGGAAGTAATGAACTGGATGAACGTCTCTCTTTCGAACACACAGCGCGGGACCGTGACTTACAGTCGTCCAAGCGAGTTTGATATCGGTGGCGGCGTCTCAAGCCTAGAATACATGGAGCACCCACAAGAAACGGAACTGCGCCGTCTCTGCGAGCAGGTCAAGGTGCGCAGCGCTACCCATACTTCGTTTTCCGTCCTCGCTATGGTGGTCACCATTGCACTGGGAGTCATTTGTATTGTCTCGGATTTCGTGGTCCGCAGAGTAGTCTTCTTTTTCCAGCGCCGCACAGGACATGGTGTCGAGAAACATCAGCAGTGGACCGATAGCTCCGCATTTCAAATGCAGCGGATGGCAGCCGAGGGCGCCAGCATCGGGCCGTGGAGAGAAACGAAAGATGACGTGCCGACTTTGGTGAACTCGAGGCTCCTGTTCAGTCTGACTGGGCAGCAACGGACTTGGGACGTCGATGAGGCCTCGGATCAAGGAAGCTTGGACGTAAAGGGGATTCGACGTAGAGCTTTGAACAAGGGTGTCACGCACCGAGAAACGGAACTACAAGATCTTGTGGAATTCAGTGGCCTCAACGCGAGACACGTTTGAGTACTCTAAGCAAGTATCGTACGCCAGCTTTTCAAGCTTGAGGATCAAGCGCAATTTTCGAGGTATCAAACGAGTAGGGAGGCTAAATTTTCTCCGCTTCCTCAGCCACCCGCTTCCCGTCATCAAGTACTTGACCCACATGCCTTCCTGGCTGGTTTTGTCTGCTGCCTTAAATACCGGTGCTTAGCCTAGCTACTTAATGCAAGTCTCTTATATTATATATGTAAGACTCGGTTGCTTAGAGCTTTAAAGCGCATAGTGTATAAGGATCTACTAATAACCTTGTAGGGCTGCAGCTTATAGCTTTGCTTAATTAACTTTTCTTCTAGCCTATTAAGACTTTAACTAATAGAATAGAGCTACTATTAATCTAAAAATCTATTTGCATTATATACCTATCCAATATAAGGGCGCGTGGAGGACACCAAATCGCAGCGAAACAGGTTTAGCGTTAGGGTTTTCGCTTAATTAAGAAGCACATTTTGGTGGTCCCTATCTAATATAAGGGCGCGTAGAGGACACTAAATCGCAGCGAAACAGGTTTAGCGTTAGGGTTTTTGCTTAATTAAGAAGCACATTTTAGTGGTCCCTCGCGCAACCCTAACACCTCTAAATCGCAATTAATTTTTACTTAGATTAAAAAACGTCTTATATAAACTCGATTTCTACGTACTTTGCGCAGCGATGCTAAGCGTTTAGTCTATAACTTTAGTAAAACGCAGTGCTGTTTTAGTAAGTAGGGTTAGGGTTTCTGCATAATAGAGCTTGTATAGGACAGCTAAGCAATAGTACCCTAATAGGCAAATATTATAAGCAGCAATACTGCAAACTCCTGCAAGTAGCCGCAGTAGCTTGTGCTTAGCAACTGCAATAGCGTATTTAGCTTTCTTAAAGACTTTAGTGTTATTATTTGCAAGCAGCACTGCATAGCAGTAGTAAGTCTAGATGCGCATCTCTATAAATACTATGCTGCATCTACTGCGCTATAGTAACAAATACTTAAGCGCTTTAGTTAATTTAAGACTGTTACTCTAAGCGTAATTAAGCTCCTAGATAAGCCTATGCAGCTGCTAGACAAGCTTAGAGAGCTGCTTAATAGTGCGCAGTGCAAGACGTGCAGCTAGATTACTGTTAATAAAGATAAGATGCGTAGGCATTGCAAGAAAAAACACTAGCAAACTTAGGTAGGAGAGAAAAGCTTGCTCTATAATATAGTAATAGTGTAGAGCTTCTTTTGCACTAGGGGGCTATAAAAATATTTTATTATTAAGGCTGGTGCTGTTGAAAATAGGCAAAATTTAGACCTAAATTAGGTTATTAAAGAACAACTTAATGCATGGCGCTAGGTGCGAAATTAGCTTAAAGAAAATATATAGGTTATAGGCGACGCTGCAAAGACTAATAAAACTGGCTGGTTTAAGCGAACAGGGTGGTTAGAGTTCTTGAAAGGCTGGAATCTTGTTTATCTAGCCTATTAAGCCCGCTTACCTAACTGTAACAAGGTGAAATTGTAGGCAGCTGCTTAGCTAATAGAGTAGCTAATTAAGAAGTATGTTAGAGGCTTAGTAACGCTTCTATAGGAAACCTAGCAATAGCTTTGTAGTGCGCGGCAGACAGATATTAATTAATAACTGCTGGCGCGACTGCAGAACCCTAAGAGTTAGGCAACGTACGCTAGCTATATAGTCCGATTTGTCTACTTCTATCTTCGCATTATTATAGATAAAGAGCGCTAGATAGATAAGTATCTATTGTAGAGAGATTAGGCTATTTATGGCAGCGAGAAGTTAAGCGGCGATAGTGCTGGTATAGAGAGCGAGTATAACAATAGCGATAATAATAACAATGCTAATAGCAATAGCAATAATAGTGTTGTGCTAGAGCGCTGACTGCGTTAAAAAGCGCTGATAGATATAATAAAGGATGCGCATAAAGTATTTAGCTAGAAGGAGGATTAGAAGGCGCTAGCAATTCGGCTATAGATTGCTCTTAATAATAGTAACTAAGCAGCTTAAATTACTATTCTGCTAGACTTACTAAGTTTGTTTATACTTATAAGCTATAGTAATAAGGTATTATTAGCTAGATTAGTGTAGTTTCTTGCTATGCTAGGCATAGATACTAAGATAAAACGCTTGCGCACTATAAAGAACTACTTATATATGCTAGTAGGGATAGCATATTGCACCTAGGTGGTTAGAGTTAAGAAGCTTCTTCCTGCAGCAGGGCGCAATAAGCAGATAGAAGAAGCGCGGGATAGGTTCTTAGAAATGCGCAAGAAGTATCTAGCTAATAGCTTATATAGTCTAATAAGTAAGATAATTAGTCTTCTAGCATATAGCAAACACGCTGCGCTAAACAAAGGCAATGCTAGCAATGCGTACTAGTTACTAGACAAGAAGATCTTCTATCTTAATAGGCGGCCTATTATTATTAAGCGCTTCTATTAGATAGCTTAGAGTATGTAAGCTAAGGTAGTAGAGTAGTTCTAGCAGCTGTGTTGGGTTAATATGGCTACTAACTGCTTTAGCATTAATCTTGCGTAGATTTTAGATAATGTTATGTTTATAATATAGGGTATGTCTTTTGTTAGTAATCTAGCAAATAGTCTGTCTAGTAGACTAGCTTAGATGCTTATAAGAGCCTAAAGTAAGGAGGGCAGCATGTAGCTGTAGACGGCGGATAGTTAGTAGAGAGGTAAGAAGGTGTGGTAGTATCTGCTGTAGGTGGACTGGTTCTTAGAGCTACTAATAGGCTGCGTGCATGTTAAGTATAGATAGCTAGGTCGAGGGTTGGAGATTATAATAATATAACACCGCAATAGGCTGCTGCAGGACCGCAATATCTTTATTATAGACGGTGCTGTTATAATAGTTATCTATTATTATAAGTTGCAGTCTTAGTAGGATAAGCTGAAGGTTATGCCGCGCTTTTTGCCGCCGCAGTTAGAATAGATTATAGCTCTATACTTAAGCTACTTGCAGCTGTTTCGAGAGTATCTTGTAGTTTAGGTGCTAGGTAGCGGCTTAAGCGACTATGTCTAGAGTAATAGGCAAGGGGCATAGAGCACAGATAAACTAACAAAGGTGCTTAAGCGTAAGATAGGCAAGTAACTAGGCGTTTAATTATATACGTAGGGCTACTATTACGTAGCTATAGGTATTAGTAGGGTTAAAGTAGGGGAGTTATTTAGTTAGGGTTATTAAGACAAGGTTAGGGAAGTAGATGAAGCTAAGGTAGATAAAGATTAAGAGGATATTGTTAAGCTGTAGAACTTATAGATAATAGTAATAGGGGTTAGTAACTATAGCGTGCTAATTAATATTGTTAAGCATCTTAGCGTGTGGTTGATAGATGCGTTCTAGGCGCTTAGCACAGCGTGGCACCGCTTCTTAGGCGTAGATAGGCTGGCAGATAAGCTAGTAGAGCCGAGCAGTAGAAGAAAGAGATAGATGCGAGAGAGCATATTAGGGCTAGTAGGGTTGCTAAGAGAAAAGACCGTCCTAGTAGAGGACCTGTGGGCTAAGATGGTATATAAGGCGCTGCAGCAAGTGCTAGGCAAGTAGAATGTTAGCTTCTAATCTGCTAAGTAGGAATAGGCGCTGTACGCGGTGCTAGACAATTAGACGCCGCTTGTTATAGTGCTTCTAACAGGAGGGGGCAAGAGCTTGCTATTTATAGTGCTAGCTTGCATTAAAGATAGTATAACTGTAGTTATTATGCTGTACTAGGCATTAATTAAGAACTTAGTTAAGTGGATTTATAGCTGCGGTGTTAACTGCATAGAGTAGAAGCGCAGCAATAGTAACTCTGTGTTGGTAGTAGTTATTAGCGTAGATATAGCAGGCAATATTATAAGCAATAGTAACTTCTTAGAGTATGCTAGACTACTAAAGAACAAGAGACTACTATAGTAGGTAGTAATAGATAAGTGTTATCTGCTATATATATTACGGCACTAGTAAGAGAATCTGCTTAAGGTTAAGAACTTGCGGCTACTTAGAGAGTCGTTAGTTATGCTAACAGCAACGCTGCCGCTGGTGCAGAAGGGGCAGCTAGAGGCAAGCATGCTAGTCTAGAACGCGATATATATCTAAGCGAGCATAGTATAGCTAAAGGCGTAGTACTTTATATTATAGTGTCTGCAAAGCAAGCTAGAAGATATAGCGCTAGCAATATATAAGTAGTAGAAAGATAGGCTGCAGCAGATAAAATAGAAGGGGGTAGTATACTGTCTAAGCAAGGGGCAGTGCGAATAGATTGCTAGGCAGCTAGGCTGTGCGCATTATTATGCTAGTATAGACAATTGGGCAGAGCAGCTATAGGGATAGGTAGAGTAGGGCAGGCTAATTATAGCTATATTAGCGTTAGGGATAGAGGTAGACTTCCTAAGGATTATATATATCTTGCACATAGAGATACTATAGAGTATAACGGATTTTGCGCAGGCAAGTAGGCGTAGGGGACGAGGAGGAGAGCGAGTTAATATAGTAGTAGTAGTAGGGCAGGGGGAGGTAGAGAAGCAGATAGAGAGAGAAAGTAGCGACATTAACGTGCAGGCGATAGGATAGTTTCTTATTAGGAGTAGATACTAATAGGAAGCTATAAGCTTATACTTAGATAGTAAGGGGGTGCGGTATAGAGATATAGAGGCGGTAGGCTATAATCGATGCGGAGAAGGAGAAGAGGTATAGATAGAAGAGCAGGAAAAGTAGTTGTAGGAGTAGGTAGTAGTAGAGGAGGCGTTTAGAGAGCTATAAGAGGGGTGCGTGATATGCTAGGTAGTAGAGTAGTAGTTTAAGATAGCAAGGGAAGAGCAGTAGAGAGATTATAAGGCGATGCAGTGCATAGTATAGAGTAGAGGAATAGAGATGTAGGCAGATTAGTTTTAGGTAAAGATGCGGGACTATATAGTAAGAAATAACTGCTAATAGTGCTAGGTAAGCTAGAAGTACTGCGCGATAGGAGAAGAGATAGATAAGCGGTGCTAGTAGCTAAAT